CAACGACGACATCGATCACGAGTTGATGTTAATAAAGATGATGATCCTGTTGTTGTTGTTGCTGGTAATGATGTTGTTTCTCCAGCTAGATTAAATGATGCAGGAGATGTATTATTACTACTACTATTATTAATATTCGATGAATCTCCACTTGTAATTGTCGTCATGATCTTTAAAAATAAAAAAATAAACGTCAGAAAGTCAAAAGTCGTCAAAAGAATGGTATGTGAAGCATACGTTTATATACACTAGACAATTCGTTGTGTTTTTTTCTCTCCCTCTTACTCGCCAAATATAAAGCGCTATATACTCTTATTTACATTGTCTCTTTGTGGCAGATTAGCCTCTCTTTTGCGCTTTCTTTTTCCTTCTTTTTTTTTTTTATACATATGAGCCTCGTACAATCTCGGCCGGTGTGTCTCTTTTCTTCTCTTCCCCTTCTCTCTGATTGTGAACCGACAGACCAACACAATAACAACAACAAAAACACCGCATTTTCGTCTATCTATTCAACAAGTAGGCATACAGTCTCTTCTTTTTTCTTACTCACAACGATGTTAATCGGGTTGGTATTGACACTAGAATAAGAAAAAAAAAAAAAAAGAAGTAAAAAAAAATCGAAAGCGATGTCGTATAATAACAAAAAATATTCTAATGCTCTTATCAATTGTCCATAGTATGAAGGTTAACTTCGTCGAATTACTATTTATATGTATAAAAAAAAAAACGAAGCAAAGCAAAACACTACAATGAACAAAATGAATGACGCAATAAAACCAGGGTCAAATTTTTTCTTTGCAAAAAAAGAAAAAGAGGAAGAAGAAAGAAATGAGGATTAGAAATCCGAGAGATGTTACACTTTTATTTCTCTTTTATTTCTATCTAGGTATATATGTATATGTTTTTTTTTATTTCTATGAAATAATAAAAATCAGTAAATGAATAAATTTGTCTCTTTTCTCGTACGAATGCATAATATGAATACAGAATAACCCGTCAGTTTGTGTCACTTAAAAATGTTTATATGATGGGCGAACATCTCAAATATGTGTGCACGACAATACACATTGATTTTTTTTTTCTTCTGATGTATGCACATATGTCTTTTTTTTATTAAGGAAAAAAGAAAAACGACGACAACGAAAAAAAAAAAAAAACAAAAAAACAACAAATTCAAATAGAAGAGGAGAAAAAATTGAGAAGATGAAAATACATATCTTTCTTCATATTAAAATAAATCTGTAATCGAAAGCCAAAAAACATTACTGGAATTATATTTGAAACAAAATAATTTCATAAGAGATTTGCCAGAATTTTGAAGTCCCTTTTTTCTCTTTCTTTCATCTTTGTATAATATTACATTTAGATGATATGTTTAAAAAAATATTTACTTAATTTTTCTTTTTTATTCGATCAATATTTTATACAAAAAAAATAACATATAATGATAATCTAATCATTTTTTTTTCTTTCATTAAAATTTTGTTTTATTTTACAATTGATTTATTTTTTTTTTTCAATAGAGAAATTTAATCATATAAGATTCTTTTTTCAACTAATTCGAATATAAAAAATAAACAGCAAAATCAAAATTTTTGTCTTTCGTTCTGTCCTTCATACAGTTTCTTCACCTTTTGTCACGTCAGCACATCTACTAAGTATACAAAATCAAATAGGAATCAATATGCTGCTTCGTAAAGTGACAAGCCAAAGGTACAATATAATTCTTCTTTTGAAAGAAATGTACAGAACAGTAATAAGAAAAAAAATATAAATCTGACTATTTCCGTATGAATTAGCAAGTTTGGGATTGTGCCAATTCGGATGTTTTTTTTTTCTTAGTTGGATCAATGCCAGAAGAAAATCTATACTGAAACTAAAACTAATAAAAACGTTTTACTTAAAGTAGAAGTCATAAAAGTTTATATATTAGGCTTAGAAAAACACAAATGAAATATTCTTATCGATTAGAACAGAATTCTTTTTTTGTATAATAAAATAAAAAGAAAAAATGGTTATAAAACTTTTTTCTCTTCGACTATAGACGATACGAAAGTCTTTACTTTCGATAGTTGAATTATATAAAATAGTCGATTACGAAGAGAACATAATTCAATGAGTTCTTCGTTAGATAAAATGATGAGAATTTATTTCAAACGAAGATAACATGAAGGTTCGTAGTATGTAGAAAACAACTTTTATCTCAAACAATAAGAAGTTAAAACAGATACAATATTATTTACAAAATATGAAAAACCTATTCGACCGAAACGACTTTTCTTTCGATTTGTATATGCAAAATATATTTATTTTTTCGTTATAAAAATTGCTACTCTCGATAATAAAACTAATTCCATTAATAAAATCACTTTAAATTAAAAAACAACACAAGTTTACATACCAAAAACTAATATGATGAAAAAATTTACATTGATTTCTAAGACGGATAATCAATAAATGTCAAGCAATGTATTACAACGGTCGTGTGTGAAATGATTTTTTAAGTCCATTCCATATTATACCGATTTTATAGGCATGTCACAGATGTGTCAACAGCTGTCACTGATAGTCAATAGTCTTCAGAAGATAATTTTGAATTATTTTCTTTAGTTACAGTGGATTAAATTTTAAGGAAAAAGAAAAGAAGTAATCCAAGGATGTTTCTATTTGATTGTAACACTTTTGAATAATGAACTGTTGAAACGATCAAAGCTTTTTTTGTTTTGTTTTGGTTTTCATCTAATGATATACAAAGCTATTGCAAAGGATTTAAATAATGTTGAAATATTCAATATGTAGAAATTATACTTGCACGAATCAAATTCTTCAATTGTTGGATTTTGTTCATTGTTATAAATCACTGTCGCTCAAAGAAATATTTCATACTCTTTTTATTCAACGAAGTCATTTTTGAATTATTGAAGCAACCTATACGATTTATAGATGAACTATTACATATTGAGAATAACACGTTTATTGCACAGCTCTATTAAGAATATAGACTTCTTTGTAAAATATCGACTTGTATATCCAAAAAGTGAGATGGAACATATTCATTTTCAGATCAAACTATGTTCAGTTCAAATTACATTCCATGTGTTGAGGTACAAAGGAGACGTTGTTTAGTTCAATAGATAAGAATGCTATATTTTTGCGAAAGTGTTTTATAACACTGAATTGTTAATTGGACCGCAAATAGTAAGACGTAATCTTGCATTCAAAAGTATTCTGAACGTGTTAGTCATTCTTACATCCAATCTAGGAAAATTTTATTTTCTGTTATAAGTTCTACTAATGATATACTGTGCTCATAATGGTTGAATCTCTCATCCTTGTTACTGTGGAACACTCCTACTTCCATGACTCATTCGAACTATGCATTCTTATCTCAAGATAAAACAGATTAATGCATATATATATATATGGTCCGATTTTGTCGCAAGACTGAATGAAACTGGCTACATATTTTTACAATTATAGAATGTATTGTAATCTTCAAAATGAGTCTTTATTTTAAATTTCATTTCTTTTCCTTGATATAACAATTGTACTAGCATTAACAGGCTGACAACGATAAACATTATAGATCATTGTTGTTGAAAAAAAAATATTTCGACGCCCTATATTTTGACGAATATACCCACATTTATATTAAAAATAATAAAAAAATAAATACAAGCATAGAAAACAAGACATCCTTATTTCATTAAGTTCCATGAAGAGATTTCGATTTTGTTCATTTGTTTACTGTGAATAGCGTTTTTATGGTTATCTTTTCTATTGCTTATTCTGCATTTTTATTGATTTGTTGATATAAATACAATTATTGAGATGCAAGTGACAGAAATCAAATTTAAGTTTATTATCTTAGAATAAAGATTAGCATGTCGATTTCTAGATATATAATATTTTTTGTGCTTTATAATAATAAATGAATAATATCTTAAGAAGAAAAATTTCCTCTTCTATGAAAATTCTATTTTAAATTGAAGAAAAAAAGTTAAGTTTTGACTTACGAGGGAACATTCCCAACTGTTACATCGCTTTTGAGTCGAGTGTATGCGCATCATGTAGAACCTAATGATCTATAAATACTTTTTAAAAAAGTTCGTGCCGCTAGCTTATTATTGCCGAGATATTGCATTTTTACTGTATGTGTAAGCAAAAAGTCGTAGTCCCCCTTAGGAACACTAGGAAAACTGAGTTTCGACTTTCAACTCGAAACTTTGTACAGGGACAGGTCTCAATGAGAATAGTTTATTGTAAAAGTTTCGGATCTTTTGATTGCTCCTAGTCTGAAATAAGAACATCGGAATCTGCTGGTGTATATGAGCTATTTTACTATAGCTGTATCTTAGGATAGGAACAACGAAAATATCTGAAACTTTCACAATAAACTATTCTCACTGAGGCCTATCTCTATGCAAAGTTTCAAGTCGAAATTCGAAACTTAGTTTTTCTAATGTTCTTGAGGGGAACCACGGCTTTTTTGCTTAAACATACACTAAAAATGCAACATCTCGGCAGTAGTAAGCTAGCAGCACGGACTTTTTTCAGAATATTCATAGATCCTTAGGGCCTACAGGATGTGCATACACTCGACTCAAAAGTGATGTGACAGTTAGGAACGTTCCATCGTTAGTCTAAGCATAATGCTGCATTTTATAATATATTCGATGTACGATAAACATAACAACATTCGAAAGTGACCGCACGAATTCTATCCGTTGTAAATGAGAAAAAAAAACATTTTAGATCGATTAAAAAAAAACAAAACAAAGTATCAACCGTTGATGATTGTTTGACATGACTATATTGATATTATTCTCATAGACGACAATGAGAAGATCAAGATATATATATATATAGACAGAAAGGGAGAGGAAGTGATTGAAGTAAATAGATAATAATTATAAGACATAAATACATCAAATAACAATGATATTAATATACTCGATTTACCTGATGAAATGTTACTTATTATTCTCAGCAAATTGGATATGGTTGATGTATTCTATTCACTGGTGGATCTAAATAAACGCTTTAATCAATTAGTATTTGATCCTCTCTATATTCATCATTTGGATTTAACAGTCAAAACATCGCTTGTTCATAATTCTCCGGTAGATAAACAAATTTTCGATCAAATTCGCACAAAAATTTTACCTCAACTTCATTGTAAAGTGAATAAAATCACGGTTACATCACTCTCTATGGAATTTATTTTTAATACAATTGATTATCCTCAACTTCACTTGCTATCACTTGTCAATTTTCAACAAGAAACACTTTTACAATATTTAACAAGTATATTCTCTAATTTCTTTTTTGATTTAATGAATAAAGCATCTATATTATCAAATATCAAATGATAATCATTTTCTTTTTGTCTATATTTAAGATGATGTAATATTTTGTCGTATTCTTAATGATCAAATAACTCATCTTAAAGTCAAAATCAAAGGTGGCATAATAGTGAAATTATCAAATGGAAATGAATGGAATTTATTTACATTAATATTATTTTTCTGTAAACATCTAACGGATTTGACCATTCATCAATTGTTTGATGGCAGAAGTGTAATCGACTCTACTTTTGATGACTGTTTATATATTCTTAATGGACATTTCGAATGTTTGTCTACATTAATCATTGATGTATATAAAATCTCAGATTCATCATCAAATATAGATAATACAGTAAGTATTGGATATTATTTTATTCTTGATAATTAAATCAGACAATTAATAATTTATTTACAGTACAGAATCTCTGGCATCAAAACTACAACTACAAGTCTTTAAATAAATTTGAAAAGATTATTGTCAACTGTTAACATATAACTATGAAATATACTAATTAATTGTCTGTTTTCTTTATAGAACAAACTACTCAAATAAAAATGTTTCTCATTGATCTCGTATTTTCAAACATATGTTTATGATAAACGAATTGTTCCACTACTTCGTCGAATGTTAAATCTCGAAGAATTGATATTACTTATCTCAATAACAAGAATTAAATTATCTTATATCGATGGTACTCATTTATACAATAATTTTCTTGTTGAAATACCACGGCTAAATAAATTTATATTCAGTATAAACATTCTTGTTGATGATAAAAGTGTTAAAATTGATCTTCCATAGAATGATGATATTCAAAATAGTTTTATCAAAATAGGATATCAACATGTGAATACATATGTCAATGTTATGAAAATTGGAGGCAAATGCCATGTATATTCACTTCTATATCAATTCGATACTTTTTTACATCTAACCAACTCATTTCGGCGTGGTAATTTCTATACAGTTCGATGGCTGAGTATGAATGATGTACAATCATTTGAACATGAATTTTTTCAAATAATTTCTCAAGATTTTCTTTTTCTGCAACGATTAACTGTGTATAATTTTGAACCACAAAAGAACAAACAACATTCATCTACATTGATTACGTTTGCTAAAGTTTTCGAGCTGAATCTTCTGTTTGCACATATTGATTATGTTGAAGAATTTCTCTTGGAAGCAAACATTCGTTTCCCTCGATTAACAATTCTTGCTATCAAATATGAATCATTAGCAATGGTAACAAATAATTTTACGAATGATGCAGCACATTTCAATTATAGTCAATTGTGATATATTCGGATACCTAAACCATTTGTTCGTCCAGAGAATTTTCATTGATATTTTCCTTTATTGTAGATATTAGTTTTCTTGAAAAATTTCTTCTATTTAAATAAATATTTAGAAAACGTTACATATATAGTAATTATGAATATTTATAATTTACTCTGATAATCAATAATTGTTAACTTTTTGTATGATTGATAAAGATGAATGGGACTAGCTTTGGTGTAGTCTACGAAATGAAACAAGGACTAATATTGAAAATTTCTAAAGTTTGAGCAGACGCATACTCGGGAATTTTTTTATGAAACGATCCTTATGAAAATCGATATTGTTTGCTTGTGAAAACTAATTGATTCACATCTCACTTTCAAATGTTTCTATTTTTTCGAGAAGATCGATATCATCAATGTTCATTGTGAATGTGCCTATGGATTCGAGATCAAAATTCATAGTTGTTTTATTGTTTATGAGTGAGTTACCTTATGCATGATACTGATTGACAGATAATTCAAAAAAGAAGATCATGCAATATAATATGCAGTGTTTGAATGAATTGAACGAAAGCTTAAGAATTTACAGATTTTTTTGTGTACATATTTAAACATAATTTTCTCTGAATTAATACACAGGCCAGGATCGAAACTAAGTCAATAAAAAGATGAAGTTACCAAAATTAAGAGGAAGCAATTGAAAAAAACATTCAAAGATAAAATTTGATCTCATACATCTCTAATGAGCATTGAGTATAATAATTGACAAAGTAACAATATAAGAATGAAAAAGATGAAATTGAAATGATTAACTATGGTCTGAATTCTAAACGGATTATAGATTAAGGTATATGATTATATCGATATTCGATATGTATATCTAGAAACCAAAGATCATAAGTTATAAGTTTCTTTTTTTTTTGACACATGAATATCAATATTATTTTCCATATTCGAGATAGTATTATAATGATTTCATCAGCAATTGTTTATACAAATCCATTTACTATGTTTCCAACTGATGAAGAAGCAAACGTAGATTTTATCGATTTGAGTAAACTCTCGACAAGTGATCGTACAAAACTTTTTGAACTATCGTCATCGTCACCTACATTCAAGATTTATAGCACGCAATACAAACAATTAAAAATCAACTTTTGAGACAAAGTCAGCAGGATCATTTAAGAAAACACTACTTAATATGAAACTATAGAAGATTTTATTTTGTTGTTCTTTTATCTACATCTCATTGATCTTTGATTAAATTACTACAAAAATATATTAAGTTTTTTTTTTCTTTTTTTGATATATGATTAAGTGTAATTAGTAGGTCAGATAAAATTAGATGTACACACCTGTAATAAATAGACTTCATGTGCTATTCTTTAATTGAAGAAACAAGACATTCTCATCTCGCTCGAATATTGATCGTCCCACAGAACGTTGACGGTAATTTTCATTAAAAACTGAACGTGTCCAAGCTAATGTTTCATTCCATACTTGCATAGTCTAATATGCTTTACAGGAGTGTACGAGTCAATCAGAATAATTAAAAAGTAAATCAAGTACATATGCAGCATTATACCAATCGACAAGTATTTGATCATGTATTGGTAATTCTGTATGAGAAGAAAGAATATATGAAATAATTGAATTTAATGATGGAAATTTTCTTGTTCCTTTTGTTGTGATTTCAACAATCGATTCCATTACACGTAAAACTATAAATAAAGTTGTTTTTGTTATTGCTATTCTTAATTGTATTTGTTGTACATCATCTTTTTTTGAGTTCAAGCATTCGATTAAATCTACGTTTTAAATCAAGAAAACTTGTACTTTATTTATCCAAATTAAAATTATCAGTTTTAGCAAATAAAAGTTCATTTTGAAAAGATTTAAAATGATCAGCTTATGTTGCAAGAGATGTTGGAATACTTTTTTCACTATGTTTGGTTGTTAGAATATCAAACGCATATTGTCGTAATTATTCATCTTTTTTAAATTTTGTGTTAAGACGAAGGTGATCAGTTAGTACAAGAACATGAGCTCAACGACTACGAGCGAAACAACTAATCTGTTTATTTGTAGAAGAATGATTATTGTGTTACCATTAGAAACATTTGATGATATTGATGTTTCACTCCTTCTTCTAAAATAAGATAGAAAAAAAATGTAAATATACCTAGTTGTATAACATTATTAAATTGTTCATTTAGAATGTTTGAATCATCAAATTCATTTCGAATTTCTCGCAGTGATAATGTACCTTTTGGTGAGAGGTAAACAAAAAGGAAAATCATGCAAACGACAATTTATTATAATCAATACAAATCTGTTGATGTAATATTTTTAATAGATATATTGATAAACCAGTGTCAGTCTTTTGCATAGCTATAGGTGTTTCAAAACCTAATTAGAAACCATTTCTTTGTTTTTTTTTAATTTTATTTCGAAATTGATATTTTATTCTTACGTTCTTTAACCGGTGATGTTTCACTGTTTGCTAATGCTCGAAAATATCTATAATTATATAAAATAATCAAATCAATGAATATTTAATGAATAAAACATGCGCAGCATTTCAAGCAAGTACATCAGTTGGTTGTGTACGAATAATAGCTTTAAAAAATTGAAGTAATATATCTGGTAATTTCAGTGGAACTGGAATTTGTTCACTTGTATAATAAGCTTCATCAGCAGGACTACTAAATCTCCTGATATAGGCAGGAGTCTCCTGGTTTTTAGAGCTTCCTCCTGATGAGAAAATCTTCTGGTACTAGGAGCTGGTTTTTAGCACATTCTCCTGGTTTCTCCTGATTTTGAGACTTTATACCTTTGATTTTAGTAACAATTTGAATAAAAGGACAAACAAAAAAAAAGAAAAAGAGGACAATCACCACAGTATTAAATAGATTCAGGTACCAATCAAATAAAACGTCGTTCCCACTTGATTTTTGTAATAATTAGATAATGAATTTCGTAAGCGAATTTCGTAGCACTAACTTATGTACTTTTAGCTAAAAAGAAAGGATCACTGTGTTTGTTTTTGAATGTTTTCATCACTAAAATATGAGATCAATTTTTTGTCACGTTCTTATCTATTTTAAAGGAAACTTTCTCTATTTTGTTCATATAGTTTAATGATTGACTGTAAAATAAATAGTAATATAAAGTACATGTAATAATCTTTCGTTTTTTTTTTCTTACAAACCATTTATAATAGCAGTGTTTGTGTGGCAAGTTAATATGATTAGATACATTTTGGTCAAACTAAAGATCTCATTATCAACCTAACAAATCCAAAATATGAGCTTGTTGTTGACGTGTTTCGACAGAAAATATTTGAATTTTAAGATATTTAAGTCTATTTAAGGTTCTCACAGTTCAAAATTTCAGTACAATTGATTATTGTTTTTCTTAATGATGGGATAGAGCTTGTCGAATTTTATTAGAAAATATGTGTTTCAAATTAGAAAAAAAATTTACAAAACTAGAAAAGTTGTATCTAGCAATCAGGAAAAAATAATGATCAATCGTACTGAAACTTTGAATAACTGTAAATACCTTAAAATTCGGATATCTCCATCAGGATACGTCAACAACAGCTCATGCTTTAGATTTATTAGTTTGGAGATGAGATCTTTAATTTGACTCGATTCTATATATAATCTTAGTAACTTACAAGGCAAAAAACTTTCATTGTCAGAGAAAGATTTTGTTATCACCGATAACAAGGAGTAAAGAAGCGTTTTTATGAACAAAAAATTTTAATTTACTATGAGAAAAATCATGGAACAGCTTTTTCATCTCAATAAAAATCTCCTGGTTTTTGAAATTTCAATTTGGCGGTCCTGGTATAGTCAGTCACTTATCAAAATATCAACCAATAAAAATAAAAGTTTTTGTCTGTATTTTTGTTAATAAAACCATAAAGAAAAAAAGATTAAACGAAAAGAAAAATTCACTTTTACAATTTATTAATATAAACATAATGTTTTCTATTTGAAAATTTGCTATTATCTACTGCCCTCTACATTCTTCTATTTAGTTCAATTGGCCAATTGAACATTGTTCTTTGTATTCATTCCTTGTCTTTTTTTATCAGTATGTTTCCATTGAAAACTTCCACTAAATAATCATGTTTGATAAACTAATATCTCAAAATTATTTACTTCTTATACTTAATATTGATTCAACACAACCATCACCATTAATTAATACAAATTTATTAAATATCCGTAATGTTTATTCATCATTTATAACAATAAATCGTGAAGCACATGTATGGTATCAAGAAGTATATCATACTCTTGAAAAAATTCAATTTGGTGGTTCACTTGGTACAAATGGTCTTTTAATAAAAGGTTCAAAAAAATGTTTAAATATAATAAAACGTATTTATTGTCAACGTTTATTACAAGCACCATATGGTTTTATTATTTCGGATCTTGGTAAATAAATTTCTTTTCTTTTCTTTTTTTTTATCTATATCGTAAAATAAAAATACAAATAAAAAAAAGAATTAGATAAATAAAAACTGAAAAAAAACAATGAATTGATAATTGATAAAATTGTTTATATATTTCTTGAGTAAATAATTTAATATTATTTTGTTTATATAAATGAATAAAATTTAAATCTTGTAGAAGTATACCTGAATTAAAAAAATAACAAAGACCAAGAATAAAATAGAAAACTATTGCCCATATACTGATTATACAAATAATAATTAAAATTGATGAAAAAATTTTATATTGTTTCGATAGTGTTTTCGATTTCGGAAGAATATGATTTGTTTGAAGAATATTTAATATTGATTTTAATGTATAACTATTACGTTTTTCTAGAGCTATTGACATCTAAAAAAAAGTTAATAAAACAAAATTAATCTTACAAAGATTTCATAAAATATAATTCGATTTTTTTTAACCTTGCGAAAGAAAATATAGTAGACAGCCGTTATCATCATGTACTACAGACTACAAAGTTATGAATTTGAATTTTTTCAAAATTTTCAATCTAATAAGATTCATTCTCATTAGAATCGATTGTTATTGAGATTTTCGAAAGAAAAGTTCTTCTAGATACAATCAACCGAACTATTTCCCTTGATCCTATAGACATAAGATTAAATGAACTAAAAGTATATAACCAACATTTATTATTTGGGTCATATTGAATTCGAACAAAATAAGATTCAATTTTGTTTTTTGTTATTGATTGATTTGAGTTTTCTCATATAAATAAAGTCTGAATTAATTTTAAAATATATATAAATCATCTTACATTTGTTTGATCTTGTAAAATAATTTCAAAAAAAAAACAGAAATCGACTGTACAATCAGATGAAAATTCTATTGAAAAGATAATTAAATTTAAATTAATGCGCTTAATCTTGTTGTTTTCTTTTTTTTTGTCTTTCTAGTTGAATTGAGTAATATTCATGTGAAACGACAAGAACGTGATCCTCTTATATCATTACCTAATGTATTATGTTTGATAATCAATGATATTAATCGACGTAGTGGTGGTTATGGTGCATCTATGGATGAAATAAAAACAACATTAAAATTACAATATCCTGAATTTCCATTACCTACTGATGATATTCTTTATAGTACAATTGGTACATTAATTCAAGATAAAATTTTACTACTTAAAAGTAAGATTTTATTTTATTTTTTTCTCTTCAATAAATTCATCATAAATGTAGATCTCATGTCAAGAAGATATATTTTCATATTACCTACACTGATAGATAATCTTTACAATGAATTACTGTAGATTAAAGATAAAATCATTGAAAGTGACTTTATTTTTCTAAATGAATGCCATATTCCCATCGGAAACATCACGAAAAACTAATTTTCGAATTTTGACTGAAAACTTTTCAGAGAAATAGGTCTTAACGAGTGTTGTTTATTGTCAAAGTTTCATGTCTTTTTATTTGCTTTTAACTTGAAATAAGAACATCGGAATCTATTGATCTTTATGAATAATATAAAGGACACTTTTATCATAGCCTTATCTTAGAATAGGAATAATGAAAAGATTTGAAACATTCACAAGAAACTATTCTTATAAAGATCTCACTTTGTACACTATAAAAATGCAGTATTTTTGCTGCAATTAGCCAAAGATCTGAATTTCTTTCAAGATATTCATAGCTCATTAGGGTCTACATGATGTACACAGTTCTAACTCAAAAGCGATTGGTCAGTTAATGAACGTCCCTCGTAAGATATATGAGTGTGTTTAGTTTTTTTGTTTGGAATATGGAACCATATCATCTCCATCTCTGTTTGGAGAATCTAATTAAGAAATATTTTCTCATATATATTAATATAATCATTCACGATGGAACATTTTCAACAGATCAATCGCTTTTTCATCAGAAACTAGTGAACTGTAGGTTATCAACCATGCTGATTTTCCAGACTAATAAATTTTTCTGTGTCAAATCGTGGCATTATTATAGAAAACACAGCCATTTAAATTCATACAATAGATATATATTAACATTGTACTGTGAAAATAGAAAAGATAATTGACTTAAGAACAAACCGATATGTTCTATAATCTAAGTAGATCAATTTAGTCTCGGAAACCGGTTATCTAGAAAATCAGTAAAGTCGATAGACATTTGTTTATTTTTTATTTAGATGGTGGCTATACAACATTACCTTGTGAACAAGCAAAACAAATTAAAACACAATTTATAACAAAAGATCATAAACTTTATTCAAGTAAATACTCTTTTAAAATTTAACTAAATCTTTGAATTTTTCTTTCGAATTTAGATGAACCTAAATCAATATTTTCACGTTTAATACACGGTTTTCGCCGTCGTGATCAAAATTTACCACCACCATTTACTTTCAATGCTCAATTATTATCTTCACCTAATTCGAATCCTTATTATCAAGCACCACGTATTGTTACTGATTATGGTATGATTGAATCTAATGCACAATTTCGTGCATCATCACGTTCACATCCTCATACACTACGTCGTGCATCATTACGTACACATTCAACCGATACTCGACAACAACAACAACAACAACAACAAATTCTTCCAACACCATCATCATCATCATCAACAACACAAATGCGTCGTCCTCGACCACGTTCATTTAGTTTTGATGAACAATTATCAATAATTGATGATGATGATGAATCAATTGTACATGATATGCCATTTAGTGTTGCACCAGTTCGTCCATTTCAACAACAACAACAAATTCAATCACAACATCGTCGTTTGAATACATCAAAAGTTAGTTCACGTTGTCGTACTCGTCGTCGTCATCGTTCAAGATCATTAACAAAACGAACAAATAATCGACCAACAACGTCACAACAACAACCACAACATGAATGGTTACATACAACAGATAATCATCAAGAATCAACATCAAATGAAGAAATTGAAGATGATGGTGATGATGAAGATAATAATGATGAAGAAAATGAAGCACATTTTTCACCACGTTCAACATCAACAGCAGCTAATCGACCACGAAATCGTAAACCTATACTTCATGCATCTGATTTTGATCGTCGTTTATGTGAAGCAACAACAACAACAACAACAACAATAATACGAACAAATGAACGAGAAAATTCATCACCAATTCATATCAATAATATTCAACATCATACAAGTCCAGTTTCTCAACCATCAACTGAACCTGATGATATTAATTTAGTAGTTTATAGTAATAATAATAATGATTTATTAAATACAACAATAATAAGTCGTAAAAGTGAAACAAATAATTCATTAAAAAAAATCACATGTCATGAAAAATTTCTTGCTATTCGTTATGGTTCACCTGATTCGGGTATTAGTGGAAAAACTTAATTGATTATATCAAAAGTTTTTCTTCTTTTTTTTTTTTGTGTTATTGTAAATTTGATTAAATTATATATAAAATATTCTTCTCAGGAAATAAACTTGTTGCTCTTATTTCTTTTTTCTTTTTGTTTGATGATAATTATAATAAAAAAAAAATCTGATTCATGTTTTGTTTTCTTTCTGAACGTACAGCTTTTGCTTACTTTGTTATAAATGCTTTTCTTTTTGTATAATGTTTATACTGCTTTCAGCTTTGAGTTTCTACTTATGCAATGCTCAACTACCCCTTCACTTCATGATTTACATATTATTGACGACGCTAATAGTGTTGTTCGTTGGCATAGAATGGCTCAATGTCCAGTTTGCTTACAACCAATACCATATGGTATGTATAGATTTTTGGCGTATGAACGGACATATCAAGAATTTATTTTGCTATTAAGCTATTATGAATGAAGAAACATTCTGTGAAAATTTCGTTCAATTTATAGTTGTGAAAAATTGTGCAAACTCATTATACTGGACAGATGTTTTCGTAAAAGCAAATGTTTTTACGATTCGACACAGTGAAAGACGTAATTTCAGACTATATATTTTTTCTCAGAGATATTTCTTCCTTATTGTTTTTTGTTTGTTCACAGTAAAAAATGCTCCTAATCCTTACTAGTGACATTTTTTGACGATGTTTTCAGACTAATGCTAATGAGAGAAACAAAAAACTATTTTGTCATTAAATGCTCACAGTGTATCCCGTCTCGAAAATCGATTTTCGATACAGTGCATGGGATTTCTATGAAACTTTTCTGAGGATGTTCGATCGATGAAAATATACCAATAGAAAAACTTTCGCGACTTCATACCTTACCGTTCAGACGATTTTCACGAGCCAAGGTGTACAAAATAGAATTCTCACATTACACTTCGAGCTATAGTATTCAAACTATTCTCATTTGAAAGAGAATTCGTTAATGATTTAGACGATAGAAATAGTTTTTGAAATTTTTCATTTCTTGAATTCTGAAGATCTTAAAACTCTGAAAACTCTATGGCTACTTTAATCTTGACGGTCAAATATAAAATCTCTTTCTGTCATCAGAAAGGGCACGTAGCAATCTATCAAATAAAAACAGACCGCAGTTCACTAGAATGAATAATATTGAAAAAACAATTTGTTCAGAGTTGAACAATCTATGCAAAACTCAGTTGCAAGAAAGACTTGCAAATATTTTATTTTTGCATGGATTTATTTGAAGAACTTTCTGATATCAATATCAAATATGATTATATTATGTACCAATTATAAGTTTATCTGAATAACTGTCTTGTTTAGCAAAATTGAATTTTTGAATAGGGAACAGAGCAGTCTTAATTAAATAAACGTGTTCTCTACATTTTTTTTTGTGAGACTCTTTGGTTCAGAGATGGAATTGATCTGGATTTTTCAGGAACCGATATTAGTTCCATCAGTGCCTTGGTGAGTAATGAGATATATGTTTATCTTAGTATTTGATTTTGAATTGATTTTTCTCATACCAGTGACTTTCGCTATATTATTAGATGTAAACGATCCTTAAAACTTAGATGATTTAAAATGCATCTTCATATTGCATCAATAGAGTCTCTGGTAAGCGGTAAATCATCTGTGAAAAGAATAGTAGAGAAAGACCTTTAAAATCTGAAAAAGAAAACACAACATTGAGAATAAAAATGTGTTGTCATCAATAAACTACACACGATAAGTACAAGATAGTTTGAAAAGAAAAAGAACGATTTTAAAAACTAAATATTAATAAAGATTTTTGTATGAGATATTTTATAAAAACAAAATTGATTTCAATTTTAGATGAACGACGATTAATAGCTGGCAAAGTTTTGCATAGTGGTTGTATCGTTTGTATTGAATGTCATAAATCGATTGGTGAAGGAGCTTTTGAACAGGTTTATTTATTGAATTGAAATAAATCTATTTTGTTCACTTGATATTTTTTTCTTAGAATAATGATAATATTTTTTGTGTTAATTGTTATAATAATACAATCAAAATAAAATTAGAATCGTCATCATCATCTTCAATAACAACGACAACAAATGATAATTCTCCTAAAAAAGATGAAGTACTAATTAATAATGATCCTTCAACAAATTCCGCTACTCGTTATGGATCAATGAAGTAGATTTTATTTTATTTTTTTTTGATCTCTTTATTTATTATATTTGAATTAGATCATTTATTGAACGAGTTCATTTATATAATGAATATAATCAAAAAAAAACATCACACTTAACTATTATTGAGGTAAATTATTATTATCATCCATTGAAATAGATTATTAGTTGATTCAACTTGTAGAAAGATAATAAAATACGTGTTTCCGGTATGCTTCGTATTTATTGGAATATCAAAACACCAATTAAACTTAAATCTGGTCAATCAATACCACTCGGTAGAATTATTGATTGTTTCTTTTTCAAATTTTTATATATTTTATTGAATAGGTTTATATCCTAAATCATTGGGTATTTATGAAATGAGTGACGAAAAAATAATTAATGACAATGACAACGAACAACAACAATCTAAAGTAGGTTAACAATTCAATCAATCTCTTGAATAATTAATAAATCATATAAAAAAGATACTTCAGATAACAAATGATACATAAGCATTTGATAAAATATTCTTTTCTTTTTATATGAATATTTCTATTCAATCTTAAATTAGTTATAGAATTACACTACTATAGTATAATATTTTTTCAGTATCACTTATGTTGAGATTATAAAATATTTTTTCTTCGATGCTTTAGAAAACATTACTACAACATCTTAAAGATCCTTGAGTGTTTTATGATCTCATCAAATTCAAAAGAAAGCACAGGATATTCAATGAATAAAAATAGTACAAAAATGTCTGAATAATGAAAGACTATCTGAAAAACTACAATAGATCGCAAGAAATCAGAACTTCACTATAAGTGTTCTTTCTAACCAAACTAGTCCGTTCTTTATATTGTACGCAATATTTTTCGAATAGGAATTATAAAGAATGAAAAATCACATTTTTTGATCTTTCTTCTTGGATATTCACTTCCAAAATGTTTTTAACAAGAGCCTATTAGCTCAAATAAACTATTTTGAACATTTTGTTCAAAAGCAATTTTCTCGAAAAACTTAAAATATGACAAAAAAAAATCATAATAAGTACTCGCACTAAAGATGTGGGTGACCAAGTTTTTTTTTGGTTCCGATCCTGGTCTAGAAAAAACTATTTCAGAATTTATTTGTATCATATCTAAAATAGTTCTTCAATACTCATGTTTTTTTATTTATTTAGTCGATGGCTAGCACTTTTTTTGGGTCATCTCTCTTAAATTATATTCTGATTAAAATATAAATTTGAGTTCTAGTCTCGCACATCTCTATTTCAAACGTTCATATGCGGCAGAATATTTTAGTTTTGTGAATAGAAATAAATCTTGATTTAAAAATTCTTTATATCTTAGAATCTTGATTCAGTCTGTAAACGTTTATGTTATGATGATACTATTCTAACAAAATTATCTTTAACCGATGATAATGATCCAAATCAAATAGCAAATTTAAGACGTGTTCAAACCATTCGTGTACCATCAAATCAACGAAAAACTCTACGTGTATCATTACCATCATTTATTCAATCATCAAATAATGATGATGATGAAGTAAAATTTTCTTTTTTTTTTTTTTTTTTTGTCTTCTCTTTTAAATTAAAAGCTTTTTTTTAAAGGCTCGTTCATTTATTCCAGCTAAAGACAGTATGACAACAGTATATATCGATAGTGAAACAACAGTTAATGAAACAATATCACTTTTATTTTCAAAACATTTTATTGAAGAATTAAATTCAAATTTATTTACATTATATAAAGTTGAACGACAAAATGGTAATTGTATTGAAATGAGCGATGATGATTATCCACTTATATTACGTATATTAGCTGGTCCATTTGAAAATGATATTTTATTTTATTTAATGGAACATGGAAAATCTCAAACAGTTCCATTAGAAGTATCAAATTATCTTGTTCTACCTGAATCAATGTTACGAGCATTTATTGATAAATTTTCTTTTGAAGAAATTGAACATATACATAAAATTAAAAGAAAATATTTAGCATATAAACAATTATTATTAAGACAATTTGAAATTGCTATCAGCTAATCATAAAAAACAAAAAATTTTTTTTTTCCTCTTTTTTTTTCTTTTCTTAATAAATTTAATAGATATAATGCATGGATCATTTTTAGATTCTTTTTTTTTTTCTAAATGGCAAATAAGCCAAATCAAAATGATGATCTACTTGATGGAAATTATCCACGAATGAAGTATAATAGATAATGATTGATTTAAATGAATGAAAATTTAAATTTTTTTTAGTATTTCACAAGCGGAAAAACTTGGTTTTACAGATATTGATGAATATTTTATGGGACATAAACAACGTGGTACAGCTATTATTATTAATAATAAAGATTTTCATCCAAATACAGGTTAGAATTTTATTAAATCCAATTCGTATTGTGATTATTCTTTGTATAAAAAATTCTCCTATTAATAATTTTTAAAGATACTGCGAGCATAAGTCATGGACTCTTAACACTGCTGAACACGGTCAATGTTCGATCACTTTAGTTGGAGAAAAAATAGTCCTCATACATACAGGAAAAATTGTTTTTTTGGTTTTTCTTGATATCAATTTTTACACAAAAAAATGCAGAATCATCTCCCAATGTGTTCCTATGGAAAATTAGAGTGTTCCCTAGAAAAGAGAAGGGATATTCTTAAATAAAGTCTCTATTTTCCTTTCTGTCTAGGTTTAAATACACGTGATGGAACAAATCTTGATGCTAGTCGATTAGAAGGAACATTTCTTGGACTTGGTTTTGATACAGAAGTTTATCATAATCGAACAGCATTACAAATATTAACAATTGTTGAACAAGGTAAAAAAACGTTTTTTTTTTCTTAAAATTAGTATTTTATATATATGAAGATTTTCTTTAGCCGTTAAACGAGATTATTCACAATGTGATTGTTTTATTTTTGTTTTGTTATCACATGGAGATGAACGAGATATTATTTATGGTTCAGATCAACCACTTAATATAAGTACTTTAACAGAACCATTTAAACGATCAGCTAATAGTTTACTTGGAAAACCAAAGATTTTTATTTTTCAAGTAAATAATATAGAATATAGAATAATTGTTTAGTTTTTGTTTTTTTAATAATTTATTTTGATATTATAGGCATGTCGTGGTCAACAAGTAATGACATCTCATCGAAAATTACCTATGAAAGATAATAATGAAGTCATTAATATTGCATCACATATACCTGCTGAAGCTGATTTTTTGTTAGTTTATTCAACAATGCCTGGTAATATTTTTTGAAAAATTCATACAGATATCGTTGAACGACTATCCATGTTTATTTAAATGATTGAATTTATCTAATATATAGCATATTATCAATATACTAGAACAAAGTCATAATTTAGTCCATACCCTCAGTTTTTTTTTCATTTGTCATCTAAATAAATATTGATAATTATAGTAAAACCTCAAAAGATCGTAAAGAAGTTCCAAAACTTGCTGATTTCTAGAAGAACTACAGTAATATTAAAATATTATTCTAATATATTCAATCAAATAAAGGGTATCAGTAAAAACTACGGACACCCATGATCACCTTGGTTTTAATTGTAAAGATAACGACAGTTACCTTGATATTTATTTGTTAAACATCTTGTATAATTAAAAATCAAAGTAACCATGGTTTTTTGCAATTTTTACAGATACCCTGAACAGGGTTCCTGATTATTTTTTTGAAGGCACGAGGGATTGAAAATTTGGGAGAAAGTGTTCTCGCTTATCTTTCTGACAGAAATCGAATAGAAGATGCTAAAATCATCAGCTTTCTGTGATATTTTGTCTAAAAGAAAAAATCTTCGTATGAATATCTGCCACAAGCAGAGCTAGAACTGCTAAATTCTTCTTTCTGTCATATTTTCCAACCGGACTAAAAAAATTTTCGAAAAGTTCAAAACTTTTAAGAAGGGGAAATTTCCGTTATTCCCTTCTAAATTGGTGCTTCTGATCCTAAAATAATTTTTCTTTGTTAATTTGAACAATTCAATTAAAATATACTAAATGTTCGTACAAAAACAAATAAGTATTAAAGTTCTTAACATTCTTTTTAGGTTATTATGCTTGGCGAAATTCTCTCAAAGGTTCATGGTTTATTCAAGCTCTATGCGATATGTTACGTGATCACGGTCATGAATGGGATCTACTAAGAATTTTAACTAAAGTTAATCGTCGTGTTGGAATGGATTATTATTCAAATTGTTCTGATCCTTATATGAATCAACGTCAACAAATTCCTGTTTTTGTATCAACATTAACAAAAGATGTTAAATTATTTCCTAAAATAAAATAATGTGTTTCCTTTTTTTTTTTTTGTGTCTATTATCATTTCTCTTATATCAGATAAATTTATTCGAATTCGTTTTTTTTTGTCTCTCATTTTTTTTTTGTTCTGTTAATATATAAATAAAATTCATCTAAGTCATTTTTGGTAAACCGAATGTTGGTAAAATAAAAAAAATGAATATAAATACAACAATAATAATAATTAAGAAAAATGAACAACATAAACATTCACTAAGACATGCTTGTTGATGCCAATGATATTGTTGATAATCTTCAAATTTTAATGATTCTTCACGTTCAACTAATTGTTTCATTAATATATTTGTATTTTCATCATTTTCACTAGTATTTAAATATAAACCATGTGTTAATAATTTTACGTGTGATAAACGAGCTGGTTGTGTTTCATATTTTCCATTTTTACGTAACCAGTTGGTTATAAAATGTATTCCACCATGATATATTGAATGTATAATATGATCAAAAAATAATGATAAAATTTCAATTAAAAATATTATTGATAAATATCGAATTATTAAAGGTGTATATGATAATTTTTCAGCTGAAACTTTTCTATCAAGATGAATTATAAATAATAATGTAGCTAAAATATGTAATAAACCAATAATTAAACGTTGATAAGATTTGATAGATGAAAAATAAAAAATGACTATAAATACAGAAAAAAATAATGTTGGTAAAATAGTTGTATATATATGAGATTCTCGTCGACGTTGCATTAAAATATATATATTTAAATAATTTAAATTTTCACTATCAATTTTAGATTCAACACCAAATGTACGAACAAACCAACCACGTGAAAGAATTGGTTTCATTAATTGATTATATTCATGAAATATTAATGAATGATTTTCATTGGAATTTATAATTGTATTATCAAAAAATCGTGTCCAAAAATTAAATGAACGTGATAAATATGAATTTATTTTTGTTGTCATATTATTTTTTTCATATTGTAATTTAAATGTTTTTTGTTTATTATACATTTTTATGCGTATATATTGATGATCAAATGGATAATATGTTAAATCAATTAATGATATAATTGTAAATAAACCACGACGTATCCATATAATATAACCATTACGTGTTATTTTAGCTGATTCATGTTCAATATTAAATAATATAAATTCTTCATCTTTTAAATGAATATCAGGTAACCAAAGACTTTGTAAAATTGTTTTTGTTAAAATAATTTCATCAATATCATAATAACGATTATGTGTATCATTTGAATTCCAATGAAGAAATTCAAATTGATAATTTATTTCAATTGTTGCTCGAAATATATATTCATTTGTTGAACTATCAATTTTAATTATATCATGTATTGGAAATTGAACTTTAAATGGTATTATTGATTGACTTTCATGTAAATGTCGAGCAGCTAATCGATATCTAAAGAAGAAAACATTATTTTTGTTCAAATTATTTTAATTCTTTTAAGATTAGCGTATAAAATTCTGTAGACTTTTTTTTTTTTGATTGCTGTTTTTAAATAAAATCAGTCTCTATACTACTTAACTTTCATATTTTGTGTAAATAATCGAGAGACACTTCAGAGTATTTGGTGCAATTTGAAGTGAAAATAATATTTTGTCAACTGAATTTTGAATTTATTTTTTGCAAGAGAACCTCAAACTTTAAACGTACCGCTTGATCATAAAATAGTTAGTAAACTTTAATTGCATATTGTACTTAGGATATACACCAAATGTAGTGACAGATGTACTTTAATTTTGTATAGAAAGGTTGAGGAAACTTTCTTTCTATATGTGCTGTTAGTAAAAATAGTACTCTAAAATTTCATCATTCTTCAGATAATATCAGAGTAATGGAAATTTCGATAAGAATTGTTTTGTTATGATGAAAGAGGAGATGACGACGCATAGAATTGTATATTACAATTTTCCTATATGAGATTTTTCAAACAACTTTTTTGAAAACAAACCTACAGCATGAAGTTTTTACAATGCATTTTCAATTATTAGAAATGTATTCGAACTGCTAATCAAAGATCTGTAACAGAGTAAAAAGTTCCATTGTTTAGGTTTCATCATTTAGGAAAGCCTATATAGATATTCTATACGGAACTCCAACCTGCTTTTTCTGGCAATTCCTTTTTTTTTAAAAAAATCATTTTATTACCTTTTCCCTTTTATAAAAAAAAACCATTTTCTGACATTGTTTTAGAAAATTGAATAAAAAAAAATTTGTCTGATTTTTGAAGTGTTCTTTGAATAATCTCCACATGAGACTTGATGAGAACCGTTGAAAAGTGACCGATATTTCTGGCTAATTGTAACCATTTGCTTTAAAATTTTCTCCAGGCGAATGGCCTGTTCTAATCAAGGTTTCCCTCAAAATTTCACGATCGCAGCCATTGATGGAGACGAGATTCATGCTGAGATTATCCTAAATAATGGAGACTTCTCTGTACCTCAAGATTATAGTGAATTGAAGTACCCTATCTGTAACACAACTTAGACATGAGAATCTTTATCTGTTAATAAGAAAATTGAGGTTAATACATTTAAATAGTGGCAAATCAGAAAAGCATCCAAAAAATGTTTTTTTGGTTCTGAGACAAAAAAAAATGTTTTCATTGTAAATTCTTTGCATTAAGACCTGTCGACCTCGGGTTGTAGCTTGAAAGATCAAGGTGCATCGAGCTCTATTGATATTCAAAATATGAGGTAAAATAATTAAAGTTTATGTATTTTTTACTCAGTAGGCAGACTTCTTGTGGCTACTATATAAGAAAAACCAATAATATTCGTCTTTATCTCAACTTTCTAATGGTGAAATTCATATTGCTCTATCTTAATTCTATTAAAAGTTATTCAAAATACTTAAAAGTATTGTCGTCCGATATTATCTAAAGAATGATGGAATCCTATCAATAGTTTTAAATAATACCTTCCAACAGTTTCCATTAATAATTCATGTTTAAGATCAATAGTTGTTAAAATTGAATTCATTATCATTTTAGTCGATATAAACATAATTGCCAGCAATATATTCAATCGAATCATTGTTAAATGACTTTTACTATTGAAAAAAGTGACCGATATGAAGGCGCGACATATGTTGTATAGATAATATTGACTTAAGGATCGAAATAACAATGTGAAAGATGCCAATGTCCACACCTACGTAGATACACATAAATACACGTACAAAAGAAAATAGTAAATTAATTGGTATTCAAAAGGTCCGAACGACGAAGAGACACGAATATTTGACATGTCTTAACTTGATTCTTATTGATTGAATGAATTAAAAATAACAAAAAAAACAAGGAAGAAACTATAAATTTTCCTTTTCTTACTTTTTTTCTTTATTCATTTCAATATATCTATATATATATATATATACGTATATTTGTAGAAAAAAAAAATAACGCCACACGAAAGACTCAATGGGCAAGAACAAAACAAAAAAGAACGAAACCGGATTTAAGAAAAAGAAGAAGAAAAAAAGAAAAGAAATATAATGTTTAATCAATTTTTTGTAAATGATGTCGATGTTTTTCAATATCAATAATCCAGTTTCTTATAGTTTGTTCTTTTTCAGGTGACATTAAATCATTTTCTTCAATATATTTTTTCACATCTGTATATGCATATGATATATTTGGATCACGAGATTTATATGAATCTGCTGATGGATGTCTTTCACCTTGTATATTTGATATAACAATTGGTGTTGTTTGTGCAGTTGATGTTTGACGATATTTTGGTGTCGATATAATTTGTTCTTTTGATGTTGTACCACGTCCAGTAAAACGTCCCAAATTATTTCGATCAATATTTGTTTCACTACGATGAAGTTCTTGTGATGGACTAAAATAAGTAAATTGACCTGTACTATTAACTGGTACATTAAATGTATTTGAACGATTTGGTGATAATGGTTTTCGACTAGCTGTTACATCAAATGTTGAACCATTTAAACGTTGTGTACTACTAAGTAAATTCATTTGTTGTTGTTGTTGATGATAATAAATATTTTCATCTTGTGCATTTGTTAAATAAAATTCTCCACTATTAACTTCATGAAATGATGTTTTAGAATTAACATAATTTCGTTGTTTTGATGATGTATGTCGTGGTCGTAGACCATAATCAAGACGTGATGAACGATAACTTTCACTTCGCATTGGTAAACCATAACCAGTTGTTCCTGGTGATTTATCTAAATGACTATTTGTACGTTGAAATCTTGTTGTTTGACGAGATTTAGCTGCTGATGATGATAAAATTAAATCACCATTATTTATATCATCTCGTAAATTTTGTTGTGGAGTTGATGTTGGTGGAATATGAAGTATAGAATTTCCCGTTGTAGCTGCTGTACTTTCATGTAATGTTCCATTAGTTAAATGTCGAGCTGATGTTGTTATTTTATTTTTAATTGGACTACCAGAACGTAATGCTTGATTAGAAACATTTGAATGACTTGGATGATCATTCCATGCATAATCATTTGATCGATATATGACTAAAATATAATAATAAAAACAAAAAAAAATAATATATATTATATTTTTTTTTTCGTATTTTATTTTTTTCTTTAAATCTTTTTTTGTTTTCTCCTCGGGTCTGTTATTTTTACATAGCATTAGTTACGAGCATGCTTTTTCATTTTAATCAAAGAAAAGAGAATAAACATCTCGAGCATTGATAGATGGGTGTTAAAGAAGAATTGCTGTTGTTGATACTGATATCGTTATATCTAGCTCACTTTTTGCAGGTTCAAATTGTGCTGAAGAACCAGTTTGCACAAATGATGGTGAACGTACAAGAGGTGAAACCGATACAGAAGGCGATGGAACAGCAGCAGCAGCTGCTGCTGCTGTTGCCACTGTTACATATCTACTCGCTGTTGATGGTAATAACGAATTACTTCTTAATGGACTTCGTCGTTGTTGATCTATTGTTTGGTGTTGACGTCGAATGTGTTGTTGTTTCGAATTCGAATTAATTTCTGTTGGGCCATTTGTGCTAACACCACGTAAATCTTCTGATGGAGGCCTCGAATGAGGATTAATCGGTGGAAACATATTATTCATGGAAAGATGAGGTTGAGTTAATTTACTAGTTAAAAGAAAAAGACAATGAATAATACGTCATCATATATTTTTTTTTGACAATATTAACAAATAGAAGGTAGCAATATGACAATTTATTTGTTCCGTCTATCTTCTTTTTTCTTTTTTTTTTTACTAAGAAACCTTTTAAATTTTTCTATCGACGCATTTAATCAGATGTATTATAAATAAAAAGATAAAATAGAACTTTCAATTGAGAATATATACTTACAGCATTTTTTTTTTTTCTAAAAATTTTTGTTGTATTAATAATTGTAAATTCAATTAATCAATAGTATATATTACGAATAAAATATAAACATGCAAAAGTTCTTCGTATGGTTAATGTATTGATGAAAAAAAATTGGAAAGAAAAAAGACGGAGAGAAAAGAAAAAGAAATCAAACGAAATTTTGAAACAATACTCATTGAAAAGTATTGTATCATTTCTAGTGTCGTTTGCTCTCTTTTCATTATTGAATAATAGCAAAAAAGCAATGACGACGAGAAAAGAACAACGACGAGCCGTCTTGTTCGCCTCAATTATTTTTTTGTCCTTCCATTCTTTTATTTTCTTTTTATTTTTGAAATAATTAAAACGACTCTCGTTCGCTCAGACACCCGCATGCGCGCGCTTTGTATAAGACCGTCATTCATTCGGTATTTCTCCTTGTAAAATTCTTTACGTTTTTATATTTAGACCGTGTAAATTATACACAATTACATATCAACACACTTTTCTTTTGTTATATTCATTCAATGATAGAGACAACAAGGATTCACTTAGATAGGTATTGAATATGCAAGGTCTTTGGTACATAAAAATAAATATGCAGATAATGTATGACATAACATATCTTTATGCTTGATTAATAGAGAAACTTACAGTCTAATATTAAAATTTCAATTAAAACACATACCGAATTGTAGTGCCATAATTCATGAATATATATATTGTTGTGTATTAGATGAAAAAGATATTTTAGTGGATTGCTATTCTATGTTGTAGTGTTTGTGTTTGTATGTATAAAGAAGAAACACAAATTTGATTGTTTCGTGTCAATCGTCTTCTACCTACAAAAGTCGACATGTAATGTGCAAGAGCAAACAAATGATCACACTTGTCTCAATGTTGTTACCTTGATGAATTTATTCAACATGAAACATTGTTGCCGTTACATTTCGATATATTTCATTGATTCCAATAGAATGTATTTATGTAAAATAGAACATAAAAGCAAAACAAAATAAAATAAATGAAATTAACTGAAATCAAAAGAGAAACAAACATTTTTTGCTTTTTCTTTTTGCTTTTTTAAATCAAATATATATATCATTTTCAAAATTTAACTATTGTCCATCGATCAATCAATCAATCTTTCAGTCTATTTAAATAGAGAATAGATATTATAATAAAATAGTATTTTGAATACAAACAAAAAAAAAAAGTTCTTTTCTTTTTTTTTGATTAGGATTTTTCAAATTTATTATTATTATGATTAGAAGATAGAAATTTCAAGTAGTTTTTTTTTTCTCTCTCTGTCTCTCTTAAAAGAAAACCCAAAAATTTTTCAATAAGAAATTAATAATGAAGTAAAAACAGCTGATGACAATGAAGAAAGAAAACGAAAAAGAAAAAAAAAATTTTTCTATTATCTTGTCATAAAAGAAGAATTCAATTTAGTTTTTGTTTTAAAAAGCTCCTTTTACGAACGCAATCATCATGTATTTAAGTGCAGGAAAAAAAAACAAAAACCTGATTTATTTCGATATTTTTAGCGCTAATTATTCAAATATAAAAAGTCAAAAATGATATATTAGAAATCAGTTAGTTTGTTAAATGAATGATTGTGTTTTTTATTTTAAGAATAAAAAAATTTTCTTTTTTTTTTTTTTGAGTATCCTATTAGTAAAAAAACCGATTTCCGCGTCTAATGCAAACCGAAGAAAAGTTTGACATGTACTTCATAAATTTTTTAGAAATTATATCTATTCGAATAATATTTTTTTAGTATACTAATATTTATCGTACAGAAAGAGAAAATGTAGAAAGTTCCAGAGTGTTATGACAATTTTAAAATGTAACAAAAAAAATATTATCTTATGTGTTAAATTGATCATATCACAATTTTATAAATTAAGTATGGCATTGACTTAATACAACACTTCCTGTATGAATGTGAATGAGTCTTTTCTTTTTTAAATTGAGTTCTCAGGCATAAATATTTTCCACTATTTGTACTTTTATATAGTAGTATGCTTGCTTATATATAGAATAGGTAAAATCAACGTTTTATAGAATTAAAATTGACTTTTCTATTTTCAAAATCGTATCGGAATTGAGAGTATTAATCTAATTTAAGGTTAGTTATCCTTGAATTAAAAGTTATATATATATTACTCTTATAAACTATAGACTTGAATGTATTCTATGTTAGAAAGAGTTCGTACTGTCTTCGTTTATTTATATAGAAATTCTGAATAACTAATTTAGCTGTTTGTTATGAAGGTCAAAAATAAAAGTATAGGTACAGTAGTTGCAAGAAGTCTCGCTATCGGGTAAAAAGTACATAAACTTTAATCGTTTTGTCTAGTATTTCGACTATAAATACAGCTCAATAAATCCTGCTCGCAAGCAGCAAGCTGAAATCGACATATCTTAACGCAAAGGTTTTGCAATGGAAACACTAGGTTATCTCCCTAGCATTATTATGTGTTATAGATAAGATGCGCCAGTCTGACACAATCTTGAGGCGCAGGGAAGCCTCGATCGTTCAAAACGGTCTCAGCATAGATCTCTTCTTCATCGATAGTTGCAATCATCAAGTTTTGAGCAAAAACTTGATTAGAGCAGGGCACTCACTAGAGAAAAGTTCAAGGCTAATGGTTAAATTAGCCGGAGTTTCGCCCTCACTCTCATTGTTGTGCTATGTGCAGATATGCCATATAATATATTATTGATTGACACTTAGAAAAAAGCTTTTCGCCTAGGATTTACAAAGATTTCAAGTTTTCTACATTTAACAACTTTACTAATGTAGATTATTTTCAATGGAAATATTTTCGATTCGAAATTTTTTTTCTGCTAATTGTTAAGAGACTGGATAATTATTCAAGAAGTGAAACAAAATGAATCAGCTGCCAAGTAAAAAGAAAGAAAAAAAATATGTAATTGATGATAAAACATTTTTAATTATATTTTTCATAATATTTTTATATTTTATCTTTCACTCGTTAGTCTTAGAGTTATGCTTAAGATATATGAAAAATAAAAAGAAGCTGTTAGTGCAATCCCTGCGGGATTAAAATATGAAACACGATATAGTTGTTATTGCTAATCATAGAAAGATTTTTTTATTTTAGCTATTTTGCGACACATTTCTTCACCATCCTTTCACTTAATCTTTCAGAAATGCAAAACGGAAGTAGTAATGAGACGTTATTAATATACGGTCTATGATCATATATCAACGACTGCCAAGGCGTGTAATATCCAAATTTTTATCTTTATACTTCAACACTTTTTTTAGTTCGTGTTTTACAAAAAGTAAATTACTAATTTAAAATAGAAATTTCATTTTTTCAAAGTGAATGACTTCTTTTCGGATCAGCTTAAAAAACTTTAGTCGACTTTCAATTTCATTAAAAATCTTTAAATTCTAAGATCGTATATACCAACAACAGATATCAATCAAATAAATATCTCCACATTTAAATAGAAAACGATTGACTTTACAAGTCAATAGAATTTCTTATCTTCATTTCAATATCTGTAATTCTTCATATAAGAACTTTTAAATAGCGAGAATATATTTTTATTGAACGAAAAAGAAAAAGAAAAAAAATACAGCCATACTGCTCAAGTACATTATTTGTAAATATATATTATATATTAAAAGAAAGAAAACCAATGGATTTATAACTAACAATGTCTGTTTGTTTTTGGTCCTTATTAATAAATATTTTGTATATCTCTATTAATACAATCCGATAGATGTTGAATATAAGCCACTTCATCATTGCCAGGAAGTTTTCGATTACAATATGGACACTCATAGTCTTTTGGTTCAACACCTATGCTAGATGGAAATAAACATTTTTCAATATGATCATATACTTCTTCATCATTTGTTGTTAATAAAAATTCATGATTACAAACAGGACATTTTTTTGTTTCTTTTGGAGAAACAGATATTGATGGAATATTCGTTGGTGTATGTGGTTCTTCATGTTTTAATTCTGGATCCTCAATCTGTTTATTCTGTGATTCTTCAATTTGTTGTGTTTGATTATCATTTATTGATTGAGATGATTGTAAAGTTAAAGTAGCCAATGATTGAGTAGGTGATGTACCAGGTGAATGATTTTCGAGCGTTTTTTTTTCTGATACATCATCGGTAATCGGTTCTTGTGATGTATGGTGTCCAGTTAAAGATTGAATTTTTTTTAAAAGAGTATTCATAATATTATGGCTTACATCTGGTGTTGTTGGTTTATCAGTTATGGTAGTTTCAGTATCATTAATAGGAACATCAGTTGGATTGATGCTAGTTGAAGCTGTCGCTATATAACAGAAAAAAAATAATTATAAATATTTGAGAATTGATAATATACCTGTTTGAGTTATTAAAGTAACAATTTCATTAATTTGATCTCTTTGTGATTGAACAATTTCATGAAGTTTTTTTGCATCATCTTCTATTTCAGTCCATTGATCATAATCATGTATTGATTCTAAAATAGAAAAATAAAATAAAATAAAATAAAAAATTATTGTTTAATTTAATTCTTACGTTTTTCATGAACTGTATTAAACAATGAATCATTTTGATTATTATTATATAATAATGATTCATTTTTTGTGAGTAACATTTTATTTAATTGACATATTTCTGTATGGAATTGCTCAATTTTTTCTTTTTGTTCAATATGTCGTTTATCATGTAATGAAGCTATTTCTTTCACAATATTATCTAATTCATTAAGTTTTTTTTCATCATTTGTATATGCTGGTCGAATAATATCCATTAAACGTATTATTAATTGTTTATCACAATCAATTTGTGTATTTGTTTCTTGTTTAAGATCACGTGTATAAAATATTAAAATTTGTTCAAGTTGTGTTGCATTTGCATATGGATTATGATCAATTAATATATAATCATGTCTACCATCCATACTTTCATTTTTAATAAGATTTTTATTTGTTTCAATATTTGTTACTTGTCTATTTTCAGATGAATTATTAGCTTGTTTTAAACGTGTTATTATAGGTACATACTCATCATTATGTTCATGTACAATTGAAGGATTTATAATAGTTATGTCGGAGTCATCCTAATATAACAAAAAAAAAACAAAACAAAACAAAATTTATTTGTATTAAATAAAACAAAAAGAATTCTAAATTTTTTTAAATATACTTCATGTGCATGGATAGATGAATTTACAATGGACATAGTTAGAAGAAATTTCGATGATTAATACTATCTAGAAGAATCGTAAATGAATAAAATAATTGAGAAAAAAACATACCGTTTTATATGTCTTATATATGCTCTTAATAAATAATAATGTAGGTAGTATGAGTCATCCTTTTCTCCTGTTGGGTAAGAATACGATTAGTCATTTTCTAGAACAAACAAGGAAATAACCATGCATTTTTTTTCTTCTCACGCATTTTTTTTTATGATGAATATATAGAGACATGTTTATTTGTATCAAAAGACGAATAAGATAAAAACAAAACAATAAAATAATTGAATATTATATTCTTTGACTTGTACAATTAAAAATATATTTGTTAAATAACAATTACTGATAGTATCATATGACAAAAGCCTAAATATTATCTTTATGAATTCATATCTAACATATTCGAATGAAAGAAAAAAAAAATGAGACGAACTATTTCATATCTATTCAGTTCCTATATCTTATTTGTTTATTACTAACACACACACACACACACACATATATATATATAAAAAGATAAGTAATGTAAAATGATAAAAACAGACACATTGGATGTGAAGACGAAGAAAAGGGGTGAGACAAATTTAGTGAATATTACAAAAAAGCACTTATTAAAATAAACCAAAAAAAAATGGATGATTTCGATCTATTCACCCAACCTTTGGCAGAAACGCAAGTATCAGGATCACAAAATACAAATATACCGGAGGATGATTTTTTCGGAGCTGGAAATACTACCAATGTAATAAATACAGCACCAATCGATACTTTCAGTAATAATCCACCAGAAGATTCTTGGGTTCTTGATGATGTATGTATGAACAAGAAGCTTTTCATCATAGTAATAATTTGTTTTTTTTTTGTTCAATATTCATCTAGAATTTTAATAATGCACCAACATCAGAAACTACTATATTAAGTGAGAAAACTTTAACTAATTTAGATTCAGCATCGCAACTAACATCGTTCGATGACGGTATGTTGACAAATCAATTGAATACCAATGAATTAGATTCATATGCTACAAATAATCTTCCATCAGCAACGAATGATATTTTTTATAATGATACAAATAATCTTTCGTCAACAACAAATGATTTTCTTGATGTTCCTA